CCCTCTCCCTCTCCCTCTCTGGAAGTGTATATCTCTCTCCTCTCAACACACACACACACACACACACACACACACACACATCCATACCTGTGCTATTTACAGTACCTCATCAAAATCAGTAGATCCATAAACTCTGGACCCTTACTGATGCGGAGTCCAGAAGATTTCCTAATTCTGATTTTATTTCCCAGTCCTACTGGGGATGCAGTGTGAGAAATAAATTGTAAGGTTTCCAAACTACACACTGACGTGTCCCAAGTCCGTGCAGCAAGTTTCCTGGAGCAAGATTGTTCACGTTCCAAGGGGGACACTACAGTGTTGCACATTTTCAGTGTAGCTTCATGTGGGCAACACTTTGAACACTAGTTTGCCCTACGTTCCTTTTGATGATTTCACATCTTTCCAAAGCAGATTTAAAAAAAAAAAAAAAAAAATCTGGTATAGCTGCAAGCTGAGTGTGGACCCGAAAGTGGGGTGACAGTGTCTTATCCAGTTTCCAGGGCAGAGGAATTGTTTGGTGTCCAGTAGGCACTCCTAGCCCATTAATAAGGAACAGAACCAGCAGACTTGTTTTCTTTCAGTCTTCATCTGCATTTTTTTTCAAGCAGTTAGCAATGTTAGCACACAAAAGCTCATGAAGTTGCTTGACTTTAGTAACTACTTAATCATAGAACCTGTTATAAACACCTTTACCCTAGTGTGAGAAACTGAATTTGGAGCCTCGTACATGCCAAGCCAGCGATCTGCTGAGCTATATCCCAGCCCAAGAAACTGGTATTTCTTCTAGTTTAATGGCACAGTGATAAAACTACTGAGCCATGAACCAATAGAAGTTTATAACTTTTTCAATCAGTACATTGGCATTCTAGTTTATAAGTAAAGCTGAAACTGCTGGTTGACTCAGATCCTTCCCTGAGAATTGATTACCTCTGGACTAAGATGTTGAATATGTCATGCTGAGATCCAGACCCTGAAACCTGGGGGAACTCCAAATTACTCCCAAGGTACCACCCTTCCTCAGGCAAATGGCGCCATTGCTGTCTTTGCCATCTGTCACCTGTAGCAGACCTTGGGAGCTGTCAAGGAAGCTGGATCTTCCTGAGCCTTAGTCCCCTCATCTACAGAGGACCTGGTCCTCGTCCTGGTGAGAGTTCATGAGGACTTGCAGGCTTCCTAGGTGTTTTATTGTTCTGCTGCTCTAACAGTCATCATCTGTCTTTTGAAATCATTCAGGCTTTAACATAGGAAAGATTTGCAAGTGTGGTTACTCCTTGGTCTACTTGTGATTCTCAGTTGAGCCTCATGGGACCTGGAAACTTGTAAGGTAAATGTATCAGTAAAGCACAGAGGAGACTCTTAACAGTCTCAATTCAATTTCCTTAGCATTTTACTGCCCACCATTACACAGTACTTCTTGTATAAGTTATTCCCATACTCTTCAATATTATTCTTAGGTAAGAAATACCTGTCTCTCTGGAGAGATAGCTCAGCAGTTAAGAGCACTGACTGCTCTTGAAGACTGGGTTCAGTTCCCAGCACTCAATATGACAGCTAACAACCATCCATAACTCCATTTCCAGGGGGCCTGATGCCCTCTTCTGGCCTCCACAGGCATTGCTCGCAGAGATGTACTTACATACATGCAGGTAAAACACTCATACACATAAAAATTAATTTTTTAAGAACTAAAATAAAAATGCTGTCATAGTGGCACAGCTCCTGCACTTAGGAGGCAGGCAGATCTCTGAGTTTGAGGCCAATCTGATCTACTTAGGGAGCTCCCGGTCAGGGCTACATTATGAGAATTGTCTCAAAAAACCAAAACAAAACAAGATCTGTCTAACCCATTTTTTTCCTTTCTGCTAGCTAAGCTGAAGAGGTCTTTCAATATAAAACATGAGGCCCTGAAGTTGTCACATGTGACTTTATTATGTTCTAAGACAACTCTCCTTCAAGTGGATTAAATGCTACTTAAATTTTTTCCACTGAGTTTTCTTTAAAGCCACTACTGCATTACAGTCTTGGGTTTTCTCAGACGATTCATCAGTATGGACAGATTCAACCTGACTGTTGGAGATGGCATCCACAGGAGTGAGGAGGTTGGAACAGTGTCAGGACAGTGTTGTGGCTGTGTGTCTAGGTCTTCCATTTGTCTCTGGGGAATACCAAGATGTGAATTCTCAGTGGAGGCATGTGACCACACTCAGAGCAGGATGGAGGTCACTGGAGTCCAAGGCGCATATTCTGTTTTTCATTGTGTTAGAATGAGTATGAGAAAAGTGGGCAGGTCAAGAAGCAGGAGGGTTCTCTGAGCTGGGTTCCCTCTGGGCTGCTTCCATCTTCCCTAACTCCCCTTTGCATCTCCTGAGCAGCCTATCCCCAGTGGTGACAAGTTCTGAAGAATGAAGGCCCAGTGTCAATGGATGCATGTTTATGCTTTATAGGTCTTGGTGGGTGGGGAGGGAGTCCCTTTGAGATGAATTCTGAGTCATGTAGATGTCCTTCCAGTGACCTGTAAGCTACATACATGGCTTATAGCAAATAGATACAGCCCCCCACCCCCAAGACTGCCTGCCTTCATTTATATTAAAACCTGCCACTGTCCTCACCCTAAACTCACAGACACAGGACTTAGAAAAATAAACAAGCTGGGCATGGTGGCACACGCCTTGTAGTCTCAGCACTCAGGAGGCAGAGGCAGGCGGATCTCTGTGAATTCAAGGCCAGCCTGGTCTACATAGTTCCAGGACAGCTGGGGCTACAGGGAGACCGTGCTTCAAAAAGACAAAAAAAGAAAAGATAAACAAGAGAGCAAGTGTTCTAGTTTCAGTTCCGTTGCTGCTGTGAAACATTCTGACAAAAAGTAGCTTAGGGGAGGAAGGGTTTCATTGGGTTACGACTCTAGGTTACAGTCCATTATTGCAGGGAAGTCAAGACAACTTAAAGTCCGGTCAAGAGCAGAGTGTGAATAAAGTGTGGATCCTTGCTCGTGTTTCTGCCCAGCTAGTTTTCTCTACTCTTAGACAGTCCAGAGCCCAGCCCTTGAAATAGAGCAGGCCACACTGGGCTGGGTCTTCCTACACATCTTAACAATCAAGGCAATCCCCACAGATATGACAACAGGCCAATGTGATCTAGGTATTTCCTCAATTAGAGTCTCTTCCTAGGTGATTCCAGGTCATGTCAAATTGACAGTTAAAACTAACCAACACGAGTGGGGGGTGGGGGGATTGATTCAGTGATGTCTGGAGGCCCTGTGTTGGCAGTTTTAAGTTAATATAGTTGTCTCTTCTCCAAACAGAACAATAAGTGGATAAAGAGAGGCCATGCCTGTTTGGGCTTTTATTTATTTGGAAAGGATCAACTAAAAGGAAGGTCTCAGTAATTTATTTTTCTGGAGACAGGGTCTCAATATATAGCCCTGGCTGGCCTGGAATTCGCTGTGTAGACAAGGCTGGCCTTGAACTCAGAGATCTGCCTATCTCTTGCCTCCTGAGTGCTGAGATTAAAGGCATGCATCAGCACACCCAGCCTAATTTCATTAATTTTTTTATTGATACCTAGAGTGGAGGTGACTTTAAGGAATTTTAGCATGATCTAATAGCATCCTAGTCAGGTTTGGACCACATGACTCTAGAAAAAACTGTTAGATAGCAGAAGCAGAGTTAAGAACGAGTTTCTGCTCAAAGGCCATGAAGCTACATTCTTTATTGAGCAGGGTGTTTAGGTATTTAAAGCAGAGAAATCTGCTCCTAGAGTTGCTGGGGGCCCTTGAAGGCCTCTCTTTTGGTGTTCTCTTTTGGAGCGAGCAGGCCAGCTGAGTAAGCACACAAGAATACTAGGGGGAAGAGAGCTTAATGTGTACGCAAATCAAATGACTGCCTAGGGGGGCTCACAGCTGAAGGGGCCATCACTGGCTGCATGATGTAAATTAGTGCCTGCCTGTCCAGGGCCTACAGGAAATCAGGTCAGAACCCTGAGTCTTCTGAGGCTGGTCTGACAAATGCATAATGAACTTACCCTTTCCTAGGGAGACAGTAGGTGTGTGTGATTTCTGTTGAGGTATGCAAAATAGGTGGATTTCCCAGAGCCTCTCATTACATCCCAGCAAGACAAGGCAGAGAACAAAGGACACTGAGCAGTTACCCGAGGCCATGCATAGTTTAGGGCAGAGATTTGAGCAGAAGCCAAGTACGGAACCGTGCTTTAAGGCATGCACTCTGGAGCTTTTTGCCCTCAATTTGAAGACTCTTTTTGCTTCTTGGTGGCTTGTGTGACATACTTCCATGTGTGTGTCATTCCTTCAATTGAGTTTCAATTTACTCAACTCTCTGTAAAATCCAGACATACTCCTATGGACTTGACAGTGCTGTTAGAAAAATAAATGTTAGAATTATACTAAAACTAATGTTCGTATCTTGCTTAGAACAGGATCTCCACTCAGCAGGTACTAGTAAATTAACACATCAGACCTATAGGTCTGGTTAATACTGCTACCCAGCAACTCACCATGAACCCAGTGCTATAAGACATCACCCTTGCCATTAGGTCCACACATTTCATGACTCAAGACCCAATAGATATGGCTTGTCCATGCTCCACAGTGTATAAGTCTCAACGAGAAATACCCAGGAGGTTGGCAGGGATGCAGGTGGCTGTGCTTGAGTCATCC